CTTTTATTTTTCATGAATCAAGCATTTCCACTGAATGATTTCACACTCCATAGCTATTTACTTTCAGATCCTACTGTTTCAGTAGTGACCCTAGATATTGCAACCCTGTCTTCTTAGAGCCCACACTAATTTAATATTTTGTCGAATTTCCCTACAATGGAGAATATTTAAAAAGTTTACACAATCCCTGTCTCTGTCATAATCACTATTGCTAGGTGTTGGACAGGTCCCCACGTATTAACTATGAAAACTATGGGAACTGTCGCTGTTGCTGGCAGTGGCGGTGACTCTGGCTTCACTGTAACTGTGTGTTCCACACATTCCCTCCCCCTGCGCTGTGAGCCTGCAGGACTTTCCAGCGAGCCTCTGGCTGGTTTTTCATCCCTTCAACACCACAAAAATGCAGACATTCCCTCCATCTGGATTCCAGAGGTTTCTGTCCTCTCTTCTGCCCCTGCCACATGTGGGCTGGAAGTCGCCATCTGTTTCCACAAGGACCTTGTGGTGACTTAAAAGCGTCATTGTCCACTTTGTTTTTACACCTATGGGGACTTGCATTACAATCAAATGTCTTTTAGTTTCCTTGGGCATCTTCTAGTGGCTTTTCTTTGAGTAGTCTGTTCTAAAATCTGCACTTTCTTCCTGCCTGATATTTTGTGGGGTCCCAGTCATCCATTCAATGGAATGTTCCGGCCCAATATGAGGACGATCACAGGAACCTGCAGACATCAGGGAGCTGCCTTAGGTACAGCCAAGAGCAGTGACATGTGTCAGTTGCCTCTTTGACTTCACAAAACTCAACACCTTTTCCCTGGACCACATGGTGACCACTCTCACTCCTAAACACATGCCCGTCCTGAGTCATGGACACAGACACACAGCAAGTACACGTGCCCAGACAGCTGACATGACCAAAGGCATTTCCCATCTGACCTGCCTGTCTATGGGACAATGACGAGACTAGGGTCTTTTATTTTAATAGCTTAGTATTAGCATTGGGTGGATAGATGTTTCCAGATCCAGGTATGCATCTCAGAATCTTAGTCTTGGAGTGAGGAATGACAGTAGGAATGTTCCCTGAGTCTGGTGTTGGCCATAAAATGACAGAGTGGGTTTATGGGTCAGGATGGGGATCAGAGAGGAGACGTGTGTCTCATTTTCCTGTGGAGCAGGTGCCCAGGGTTAGCACGGGGCTCCTTCCACATGCTGAACCATCATCAGCACCTTCATCCTCAGATAGAAGCCCAGAGTATTGCAGGAGTCCACGTGGCCACACGTGAAGCAAGACATGTAACATGGGACCCTGCAGGTTGAGAACCACCAGGTATCCGCATTTGTGGTTTCTCTCGGGACCTGGTGGGACCAGACCACACTGTTCACCCCACGCTGCTGACCCCAGTGCAGGGGGAGGTGACGTTTCTCCCAGAGGACGGGCAGTGAGTGCGCACAGCCTGTGGGCAGGACCCTGGAAGGACACGTGGGGCACATCACTGCTGGCACTGAGAAGACACAGCCACCTGTGTGGTGACGACTGACTGGTGTTTGTCATGTAAGAATCCCTTTCTTGAGGTCATCCCTGAAATAAAAGCAAGAGCTCTTGGGCTAGGATGGCCTGAAAGCCACATGAAGAACTGGGATTCCACGAGCACTTGGTTGTTTCAAAGGGTCAAGAGTTCTGATGAGATATCCCTGATGGTGACATGAGACAACCTGACCATTCCACCGAGGGCTGTTATGTCTTCCAGGACAGGAGGTGTCAATTCTCTCCTGGGGACCTGGTCCCTGCATGAGGCTGGA